ATTGAATATCAGAAAGAACTATTGACAAATCCTGATCTTGGTATCCTTTAGTATACATCTTGCAGGCTGGAATGGGAACAAACCTGCATTGTTTTGCTATTTTTACTTTCACCGCATCACTGTCTCTTCAGATTTCAGGATTCCATTTGCCACCTGTAATACTTCTTCAATTTTGAAGGAATCCATCTCTTGTGAAGTTTTGTATATTCTGCCCAATGTTAACCATTTCCAGGATGTCTGGGATTTTTACTTTCAAATAAACAGCCCAAAACACGAAATATATGATAATTATTTTCCCATTCCACTGTTCTCATATTGCTGAGCCCATCCTTGTAGATTTCTTGGGGCTTTCTTCAATTCTCCCTGAGTGTCCACACATTTGGCCAGTTGTGTGACTCACTGGCCATTTTTGACTAGGATAAAAGAAGGGCCAATGCCTTTTCAATATGTTCATTCATAATATGTCTGTACTACTTTCCACTTCAAGAACATAACATACTATTTCTCCTACCTGTTTATGCTACCATCTGTGTCCCAGTGTTGGCTTTATTAGCTCAACAGTTTCAATACACTATTACTGCTCATATAACAGACCTATCTGCCTGAATTAAAATGTGATGTGGGCAAAGAGGTACTCTGTTAAGAAAAATGCATTCTTTCTGAGCATCCTTTAGGTCCAGTCTTTTTATGAAGACTGGTCCACTTCACTTATTATTCCTTTAATTCATTTCTTCCAATTATTTTTTTATTCTGAATTCTACTCAGACTATTTGTCTACATATTTATTGTAATCTAGATTATTATATTCCTGCCCTGTTACTTGTAGTTTCATATTTTCAGTTTCTTTTGATGTTAATTGGCTTCCACCTCCTTTACAATGTGGGAATTCTAGCTTTCAACATTTCAGAAGTAACTCTATCTCATTTAAATTTTAAATTCTTAGAATTAAATTGAGTTTTGAAGTGGTACTTACCTCTTAAATACTTTCTCTCCCACTTCCCTACAACCAAAATTTCATCATCACTGCAACTTTCAATAAAATCTATATTATAGCAGAATATAAGTAAGATCTCTTAATGCTTGCACAGTAAGCCACATGGAAAGTTAGAGTGGAGAATTATGGGTAAATGATGCATGCTGTGCAATTCCTAAAGGACATTTCATTGACAGCATGAGATCAAGCTCAACAAGGAAAGGCTTTGAGTATTTCAAAGGCAAGTACCTGTTTGAAGTTCATTTTCATTCTAAAAATGTAACATTTCATATAATAAAACTGGTTTCTGATAAACATGTAGAAGAAGGTTTATAATATTGCAATAGAACAATTTGTTTTATACACATTTCTGTGTATGATCTGAAGGTTCAGAGAATAAAGTTTAAAAATAAAGTAGCTTTGAAACCAGACTAAATACATTATTTTTGCATTTTTTAATAAATTCAACAAATATTAAATTTCTTAGATGTGAGAAATAAATGTTTAAAAGTTAAAACTATTATTGTTAGATTCAAATAAAACTGAAAAACATTTCAGTAAATACAGTTCAACATTAAAAAAATACGTTATGAGAAAATGAGAGTAAAAGAAGAAGGAAAATAACTTGATTAACAGATGTTTTAAAAGAAATGTTTATATGTAACATAAGGTGTTTAGTAAGGGAACCTAGTCTTTCACTTAGCATAATTAATGAAATATGATTATAAAAAGTTAGCACAGGAGTTTAGTGTAGAAATGTAGTTATAAATCTATGAATGAAATTATCAAGTCAAGTCAATTCCAATGCTGCTGTGACCAATTGGCACCTTGGATGTGGCATAAACCCTCCTCCACTCTGTCCTGTGCTTGGCTAGCTTTGTGCATTCTGTATATTAAGGCCCTGTCTAGCCTTTGATATTGATTCCCTAGCTCTCTTTGGGTCTACCTCTTTAAATACTGTGATAATGTATGGTAAGATTTGATCAACTACAGAAGGAACATTAAATTTATATTTCTTTAAAAAGTTTCCAATGAAAAATAATAAATGATAGTGTAATCGATTTTTTTTTTCTCCATAAATTGTATCAGAATTCATGATCAGTAAGAGCTAGTTCAATATTTTCAATAATCAATGAGGTGTTGGAAGAAGTAGACCATTATATAATATCATCTACACCTAAATAGGAGTAATAATTCTGTTATGACAGAAAATGCTAACAACATATTAAAAATGGTGAATTAAAGGACTTTGTACTTCTCCTTGATGTACACCAAATTGAAACTATTAATGTTAACACTATTTCACTGAAAAATCAATGAATGAAAGTCGTGGATTACTTTAAAGAGCAGGCCATTATGGAAAATTGTATAAAATAATTTTTCTAAATGAAAATGTGTAAGTGTGGTGATTTTTTTTTCTGGGTTAAGCTTCCTAATAATTAATCACCTTATTTGTTTTAAGATTGAGAAGTAATAGATAGTTAAATGATTATATTTTATGTATGCATCCAAAACTAAATTGTGTGTGATTAATTTTAAAAGGCTTAGATTTGGTTTTTGAATGATAATTTTGTTTGTTATTTTCAAGATTTACAGAAAGAAACCAGATTTCAAAAACTTTTGCAAAAAATGGAATCTGAGCAGTTATGAGTATAAAACTTATATAAATATTTCCAAACTAATAATACACCTCTTCTTGTATGCAAGATAATATTCTTAGCTCTTCAAAGTTATGTTTGTCACAATTAGTGTCAACACCATCTGTTAAAATATTTCATCTCTTCTGACTTTCACACTACAGCAAATACTAGCTTGTTTTTCTCTTTTCTATTTATATTTAAATACTTGAGATTTGTATTGTACTTGAATACTTCCTTAAATGTCTATAATAATTGACCAAAAACCAAAATTTGCAAATCACATACCTATTGAACCTACAGGGAGGACAAAGGGGGTCAGATCCAAATGCAGACCCTTTCCCCACCCTCCATATGTCATTTTCAGAGGACCCTAAGAGTAGATGTAAGGTTTCTCAGTTATAAGAGTACACACACAGACTTATGTCAAATAGTGTTTTAAATTATTCAAAATCAGCTTTTTTGACTTGGTTAGGGATTTAAAAACATTTCACTGGAAACATATGACTAGTGGGCATTGCCTTTAGACTTAACCTTACCTTTTCTTTTTTTGTGTGGTATCACTTGTGCTAGAAAACAAGGTACATAAAAACAGAGGACCATTCTTTATGCTGATTGTATGAATGTGGTAATTAAGTATACCATGCATTTTTATTATTGTATAATATTGTAGTATTTATTCAGAATTTATTCTTTGTTCTGTATATGTGCAGGTTTCACATAAAACATGGTTCAAAAAGCTATTAAGTTGATTTGTTCTAAAGCTACTTCTGTTCTTTAATTGTTCTTGAATGGGTAATACCTGTTCCTAACCAGGGTGGGTATTGTTCAATACAGTGTGTAAGGATGTCAACAGCAGTGTCCTTCAGTGTTCAGGTGATATCTAAAGGTTATGGGCCCCACCTATGTTGTACTGAGAATGACTGTTCATATAGGTAGTGCTTATTGCCCAGGGTAAATGTAAAGTTTCTTGCATAATATGGAACATTACATTTAGTCAGTCTTGTCTGGTACATGGATTCAGCTTGAACAGTTGAATATAGAGGATCCAGTAAAGCCAATCATCATGTGTAAATAACAGCAAGTACACATGCTCTATTTGTGTTCTAATAGAGATTGTTCATTTTGTATTACACGTTTTGTCCACCTTCATTACTTCATTTTACATCAATTTAGTTAGTAAAAGTAACTGATGTCTTGAGTGATCTCCTGTTATCTAGTGGAACTATCCAGTATAGCTTTAATGTTAATTCAGTTTTACCTGGATGTACCACAGGGTGAATAGTTAGGGGATATTTTCACATGTACATATTACTTTAAAGTCTGGTTAAAATATATAAGTATTTTAACAATTTTTCAAAGATATGGTTTGATATATGGAGCTGAACTTAACTGAATATGGTACTTAAATAGTACAAACTAAATTAATTACCTCCCCATACCAATTCTACAAATATCTGGTGTCAGGTTTATGTATAGGGCCAAGTTTCTTTATAGTAGGTGTCTGTGACATATTGACGATAAATTTAAACAATAAATGGACTGCACACAATCCACTTGTTTTAAAATAATATATTCAAAACAAGTCAAATGTATGTAAAAAATTTTTTACTTTTGGTTATCACAGTTGTATCCCCAACTTTAAATAATTCTCTTTT